AGAAGATTTATATCAAATTATTAATTATAAAGTTATGAACCAAAATGTTATGAAAATTAAACGTACCAATATATTTTATCCAAAATAGTATTATAAATATAATACCAAATACTACACTGTTTATTAGAGTAATTATATATTTGCGCCAATGTTCTGAATCCGATGTCTCATGGACAGTTTTGTTGTTTGTACTATTTGATGAAACTGTACTTATATTTTTTGTTAATTCTATATTTCCGATTATGACATCCACTGTCTGATCGATGGTTTCATTGTTTGTATTATTTATTGAAAATATACTTATGTTTTTTGTTAAGTCTATGTTTTCGGTGATGACATCTATGAAAATATCGACATTTCTTTTTTAATTATACGACATGTAAAGCCTAATTTTATTGGACATTTTTTGATACATATCTGACAGAAGATTTTCACTTTTTTTTTCTTTTAAATAATTTATTATGAACTGAATGATTCAATCATGATATGATTAAAATTAATTTAATGTTGTCAAATTAATTTTTAAATTGAAGGTATAACTTTGTTATATCTATTTTTTAACGTTGTGTTAAATGAAGACTCATGTCACACATTTATATATTTTACTAGACCAAAAATTAAATGAGTCAAACTAGATTTCATAGTTATTTAAATTTATTAATTTAGAATTTCCATTGCTATTTAATAATTTCCTTTCACATATTTACATTATTTCATATAAAGTTAGTTGATCCATTAATATGTTTCAATCTATGTTATTTTTTGATATTATGATTGAATATTTTAATTTTACATTTGCACATTTATATATGTATTACTTAATTTTATTTTTATTTTATATACTTGTAAATTATGATTGTTTCATACATGTATATATTGTTTAATTTATTAAAGTTAAGTATAAATTGTCTTACCTGAGGTTACGAAAATTACGAAGGCAAGTATAAATTGTCTTACCTGAGGTTACGAAAATTACGAAGGCAATGATAGCAGTGAAAACGAAACATTGTAGTTGCGTATTCATTATTTATCTTTTTCTTAACTAGAATTAATAAAATTTAACCGTATACTTATATTTCTTTTATTCACTTAGTCGTTTAGTTTATTCACTTTCAACACTTGTTGTAATATCTATAAATTAAGAACAATTAATTTTGATGTCTGAATAAAAAATGCGTTGGTATTCTCTTTATATACGACGTGTAAAAATAGAGAAATACAAAAGGAAATCGAGATTGAGTTAAATATTTATTATTTAAGGATATAAGAGTGACGAGAAAATGTCAGAAGAAACAATATATTTAGTAGTAAAATGAAAGAAAGAATTTCAAATTACAAATGAATACAAAACAACTAAAATTTAATAATATTTAT